TTGATAACCTCATTCTACCGAAAGTGCAGCTAAAAGAGGTGACGTCACTGGCTTATGCTCACGCTCGTAGGTAAGTGGCAATCCTGGGTTCAGACATGTTTTTCTAGCCCCTTGAAGACACTGTGCTTTCTCCTATCCTACCAGCCCTCAAAGTTTTGCCAAAGAAAGAACTCCTCATTCAACGGACAGGAAGCTCTGCCGAGTATAAGAAATAAACAGATTCCGGACAATGGTAAGGAAGCTTCTACAATCTGGGTGTAAACCTGAGCCTTTCACAGTTACTCGATGAAGGAGAGAAGTTTCTTGCAAAATTCTACTTTTTCCTTCTGAAAACTCTTTGCTTCACAGATCCTGAATATTCCATTTATTACTCTTTTCTCTTTCAAGCAAAAGCTCAAGTCCCCACAAGCAGAAGAGAAGGACGATGGAAATCTTAACAGGCGGCAACGCCTTCGCATAGAGATGGTCACCGAAGTAAAGAGCCCGCCCACAAGACCGTGGAGAAAACGTCATTACCCCGGCTCGCAGCCTTCTTGTGGCTGGCCAGGCTCCTCTGGCACCTTCACCTCCTGGCCACCTGCCACCTTTACCTTCTGGAAACACGGGCACACGGCCAGGCCAGAGATTTCTGCTCTCTGACTGAACACAAACACCTCTCAGCTTTCCAGTCTGAACAGAGCCCTGAAAACTGGGACTCACTGTGGGTTTGGTGCTACTGATGTCTCCGCAGTTTGTAATCTTCTGCCTGTTTAATTAAAACCAGAACATTCCAAAGAGGCCCATTCTTAACTAAAGGAAGACCCACGGGGTCTGAACCTGCCTTTGTTAATCTACAGACCAGACAAATAGAAGCACCAGCCAGGCAAACGGGGCATGGTGTGCGCCTAACAAAACACAACCAGCCTCATTTTCCTAGTGATTTTTTGAAGTTTATTTCCTGTCAGTTTCAGGTTCTGGGAATTCAAAGATGATGAGTTCTGACCCTGAGGAGCTCACAGTCTGGTGAGGGAGACAATACCTTAGAAAAATTAATGGCAGTATTAGGTGGTAAGTGGGAGAACACAAAGGGACACCAAGTGCTAGAAGGACACAGGACAGAGGAACTAGGGAGATTTCATCAAAGAAGGGGCCACAGGAACTAGCTCTACAAAATGAGTAGGGAGTTCTCAAGGCAATGAAATGGAGGTTCAGAAACATTGCAAGCAGAAGGGACAGTGCATTCAAAGACTCACATTTATGAAGGAGCCTGCAGTCTAAGCAGTGAAGAGAAGCAGTGTTTGTATGTGAAGGGAGGTGGGGAGCTGGTAAAAGAAGCATCTCAGAGACTATTACAAAGGGTCTCTATAGGCATCTCAGAGTCAATGAAGGTTTTAAAGCATGTTCAGTTGGTTTTTTGTTTTTCTTTTTTTAAGAAAGTAGTTCTAGCAGACATGCCAAGGGTAGACAGGAATCTACATCAGTGCCGTGCAAAAAAAAAAAAAAAGAAAGAAAATGTGAGCCACAGAGTCAAGCCAGATATATAATTTTAAATTTTTTAGTGGCCACATCTAAAGTAAGAAAAAACAAGTAAAGTTAATTTAATAATATATTTTAACCCCCAAATCCAAACTACTATCATTCAACATATAGTCAATATTTTTTAAAATTATTAACAAGATAGTTCACATTCTTTTTTTCTAGTCCTACCTCTTCTAGATCTGGCATACTTAACAGCACATCCCAAAATTGGGTAAGCCACATTTCAAGTGCTCGGAAGCCAGATGTGGCCCATGGTTACCATACTGGACAGACAGCTCTAGATAAACCAAATGCAAGACCCACTTGGGAGACTGTAGCCAAGAGCCCAAACAAGGGATGATAAAGCTCTGAACAGGTATTTCCAGTCCCTGAACATTTGCTAAACTGCCACTGAAATGCCATTTTACAAATATGTAACTTGTTGTTCTGTTTTAAAGATTTTATTTATTTAATAGAGAGAGCGTTCGCTTGTGAGCAGGGCAGGGGGTTGGTGGGGGGAGAGAAGCAGAGTCTCCGCTAAACAGGGAGCCCGTCTCAGGACACCAGGAACATGACCTGAGCCGAAGGCAGACGCTTAACCAACTGAGCCACCTAGGCACCCCATGTTTTGTTTTGTTTTTAAAGATTTATTTATTTGAGAGGGGGGTGGGGCAGCGGGAGAGGGAGAGAGAGAATCCTCAAGCTCACGCCCACTGAGCACAGAGCTACAGTTGGGGCTCAATCTCAAGGCCCCCAGGACCCCAAGATTATGAACTAAGAGTTGGCCGCTCAACCAACTATGCACCCCACTTTTTATTTTGAATAGGCAATAATTCATATGGTTCACAAATAAAAATACAACAGGGTACCTAACAAACAGTACTGCCCCTACCCTTTTTCTATCTACTCCATCCCCCACCCACCCATTAAAGACAACCATTTCTTTTTTTTTTTTTAAAGATTTTTTTAAATTTATTTATTTGACAGAGAGATAGCACAAGTAGGCAGAGCGGCAGGCAGAGGGAAAGGGAGAAGCAGGCTCTCTGCTGAGCAGGGAGCCAGACTTGGGTGCTCGATCCCAGGAGCCTGGGATCATGACCTGAGCCGAAGGCAGCCGCTTAACCGACTGAGCCACCCAGGCGCCCCAAAGACAACCATTTCTACTGAGTTTCTTTTGTTTATCCTTTCAATGTTTCTTCATACAAATACAAGCAGATATGAATGTAGACCCCAATTTTGTTCCTTTTCTACACCAAAGGTGGCATACTACATACTCTATTCTGTACTTTGCTTTTTTCATTTAACCACATATCTTGAAGATCTTTCCATATTACTGCATAAAGAGTTTCCATGTTTTCTTTAAATGCTACACAATATTCAATTGTATGAATGGATCACAGTTTATTTCACCAGCCTTCTACTAATGGATATTTGAATTGTTTCCAATCTCTTCTATTACAAACAATGGTCTAATGGAAACCTATCTACATCACTTTGTATGTATTCAGATGTACCTGCAGGGAAAAATTACCAGAGCCAAATTGCTGGGTCAAAGGGTAATTGCATTTGTAATCCTGATAGATACTGCCAAACTGGCCTTCAAAAGGGCTGTGCTATTTTGTAATCTCGCAAGAGGTACAATGACAATTTTTCCAGATCTGGTCAACAATATATAATTATCACACTTAAGAATTTTTGCCAATCTGATGAAGTGAAAAGTACTACTCCAACACAGTTTAAATCTGCATTTCTCTTATTATGTTGGAGACTGAAAATCTTTTCTTTGGTATAAAGATAATCTGTATTTCATGTTCTGTGAACATGTCCCTTTGCCCATTTTTCTATTGATCTACCAGTCATTTTCTTATTTATTTGTAGGAGCTCTTTATAGAGAGATTAACCCCTTGCCCACTATAAATATTTTTTCCCTGACTGTCATTTATTTGTCTTTTGAATTTACTTACTGTGTTTTTTACCAGGTAAAGTTTTTATCCAAATTAATCAATTTTTTTCTTTTACAGTTTTTGAATTTTAAGTCATACTAAAAAGGCCTTCCTCAAAGTTATAAAGGAAGTTACCCATGTTTTTTCTAGTCCTTTTATGATTTTATTTATTTATTTTTTAAGATTTATTTATTTGACAGAGAGAGTGAGAGAGCATGTCCACCAGCTCGGTGGGGAGGGAGAATCTCAAGCAGACTCCCGGCTGAGTGCAGAGCCCAACACAGGCCTTGATCTCGTGATCCTGAGATGACGACCTGAGCCAAAATCAAAAGTCGGACACTTAACCGACTGAACCATCAAGGCACCCCTCTAATCCTTTGATTTTAAGCAAATATGAATATATACCCATCTTTTGAAATACTTGCTAGAAATATCATTTTTCACTTTTTCCAACTGAGGTAGACCAAACATTTTATGAACTGCCTTCCTGATTTCTTCCTCCTTTGTCATCATTCTTTTGAATATCACAGTAAACATCATATAAAATGAACTAAATCAAGGTAGAGTTTATTTGAATGGTATGAGATATAGAACCAACCTCATCTTTCTCCAGATACCTACCCACTTGGCCCAATACCATATACTAAATATTTCATCATTATCCCACTGGAAACATAATTTTTAAATACTTTTCTATTTGTGTAGACAGCAACCTGGAGTTTTAATAAACTTATGGTTCTAATTCTTTAGTCTAGACACCACAGAGGTAAATACAATTTATGCTATTCAGTTTATTTATGGAAACTGCTAAGTTTCATGAAACTGCATTCACCCAGCACTGTCCTTCCTCCCACATCATCAGTATCTTTTCAACAGACGCTTGACTTGAAGGGATATACAGATGCAAACTGTCACTGAGAAATTTACAGTTTGGAAGTTGCTAAATTATATTTCACAATGAATGTTTAAAAGGCAAGCAATATACCAAAATTAAAGTTTGGCAAAACTCTGTACCTCTTGATATCAGGGTTGTGAGTTCAAGCCCCATGTTGGGTGTGAAGCTTATTAGTAAGTAAGTAAATATAATACAACATCAGATTTTTTGGGGTGCCTGGCTGGCTCAGTTGGTAGTGCATGTGACTCTTGATCTCAGCATTTTAAGTTTGCCCCCCACGTTGCGTGTAGAGGCAACTTAAAAAAACCTTTAAAAAGAAAAAGTTTGGCAAAACTCTCATCAATGACAGAATTCTGGTTTATCCAAGTTCATTTTATATGCTCACAAATGTGACATTCAAAAGATTTATGAAAAAAAAAGAAAGGAGAAAAAAAGCCCAGAAAAGCAGTTCAGAAACTATCTGGTCCGCTTCAGCTGGGAAAGAGAAAAGTTATTTATTTTTTTTTTTTTGCATTTTCATAAAGGTAAATAGAAATAGGGGCGCTTGGGTGGCTCAGTCAGTTAAACGTCTGCCTTTGGCTCAAGTCATGATCCCGGCCTCTGCTTGCTGCTTCCCCTGCTTGTGCTCTCTCTGTCAAATGAATAAATAAAATCTTTAAAAAAACAGAAATATGGAACGCTTCACAAAGTTGCATATCATCCTTGTACAGGGCTATGTAATCCTCTCTGTAATGTTCCAATTTCAGTATATGTGCTGCTGAAACAAACATGAGAAATAATATTCTTTAACAAGGACTTAACATTCCCAATTATTTCTATTCAAAAGTTTCCAGTAAACTGGAATTTTTAAGGTAAAAATGAGAAAGATATAGTATTTTACGGTAAATGCTCTTCTACTCCAATATTAATTCCTATCATGTATATCAGCATCCTTCGCGTTTTATCCAATCAATGCATACTGCACATCTTTCCCTGCCACTTGAGGTTGTAAAATTAGTTATCATAGTTCAGTTTCTAAGAGATTTATACACACACACACACACATACAGAGTTAGAAGCAGCATATCCTTCAAAAATTGCAAGGGGATCAGTTCCTACATAGGGGATGCTCATGTAGTAGACATGAATTATAAAATCTTACATAGGGGATAATAGTACCAGAAAAAATAATGACAGCAACAAAATGATCCTACACTGGGAATGTGGGTCAGGAGGATCCTATGGAGTAAAAGCTCCCCCAGACAGGAATGAAGCATAGCTTCTGAGACCTCTGTGATGTTTCTTTTCTTTTTTTAAGATTTATTTATTTGAGAGAGAAAGATAGTGAGCAGGTGTGTGTGTGGGGGGGGGGGGGTTAGGGAGAGAGGGAAAGAGAATCTCAAGCAGACTGCACTGAGCACAGAGCCTGATGCGGTGCTTGATCCCACAACCTTGAGACCACGACCTGAGCCAAAACCAAGAGTGGGGCGCTTAACTTCCTGTGCCACCCCGGCGCCCCGACCTCTGTGATGCTTCTAAAAGAAACAGAGCTGAAGTGGAAGCCAAAAGCCCGGTGAACACAGAGGCTGTACTCATGCTACTTCTGGGTAGCCTCCCTGCCTCCCGACATCCCCCTTCCCCTCAAGCTGCTGCCTCCTATGTCAGCCTGCAGACTCAGGAGAAAGACTCACAAACCTGATTTCTGGCCCTGAGATGATGCTCTTGAATTTCAACCTTTTTTAAATTTGCAAATGCCTAATGAAGGCAATTCACCCCGGATCATACCTAAGTACCTAAAACTAACCATGAATGCCTACTGCCCCTCCCCTCCAACAAAACTCTATCTTTTCCCATCTGTATCAATAATATTATTATTTTCCAATTTATTTGGACTCCTTCACACCCCCTTACACCTTAGGCATCTTCTGACTCTGTCCACACCCTTCGACAGCCACCCACCGAGTCCTTCTCTGGGATATCCCCCATACTGCCCTCCCCGTTTGTTTCCAACTTCAGACGGTCCTCATGACCAGGACCCTGTGCCTACTTTATACACTCTTCACGGATTTCCTTCTTTCCTCACTCCCCCATTTACAAACGATTCTACAATTGCCATGTACCTTTCCCAAGTGGTACCAAAACCTCCAGTGTTTCCCATTATTTCAGCGACAGCCTGAAACCATGTCACTGATCATTTCATTCACTTGACAAATATTTATTGAGTCCCCCTTTTGGCCAGGCATGATTCTAGGCATTTGGGACATATCACTGAACAGACAAAACTCCTATTTAATCTTATCTTAACCTATTTTTTCCAGCCCTTCACCTTACTAGTCTCCTAGATAATTATAAACATTATCTATAAATAAATCTATACCAGAAGTTATATTTTGATATAATTACATTTTCAATGATACCTTAAAAAACCCTACTACCTACGGGATTCAGTAGTGAGCAAGACAGATGCTTTTTCCCTATGTCCTACTCACCCCCTCTCACCTTTCTGCTCTGAAAGCTTTCTCCTTTCCCTGCCCTCTAACCCCTGCCCACCCCGAAACACTCAATCCAAACCCTCCAACTTAGCTAAAGACTTTCTTGGGCAACAACGCCCACAGCAGGGACCATCAGTCTTTCTTTATCTTGAACAGTGCTTCTGGGGGTGTGTGTGGGTGTGTTTTCTTTTCACGGGTTTCATGAAGCTCCCTAATTAGAACAGAGGTCTCTGAAGACCAGATACTTGTTTTCTCCTTTGCACTTCCTGGTAGGATTCCATAATCCCAGAACACTACTGCCAAAGGAAATGTCTGACACCAGTTCATCAAACCAATTTTGCTTCCTGAGAAAGTTGAGGCTTAGGGAGGTTAAGTCATAGTATCAAGTGCTTAAAAAAAAAGTGAATCAATATTAATTGCAGACTGGCAGGCATCCTTTTCTTTGTCCCTAGGGACGGAGGAAGATGGCTGAACGGCTTCTTGCATGCAGTTCTTTCCTCCTGGTATCCACGCAAATGCTCCCAAGCTGTCTGACAATTTGCTGAGAGCTACTGCCCAGCGGAGGCCTAACTCACTTCACCCTGGTGGGTCTGCCTAGTTCTATATGTTTGCCCTCTTCCCAACTGTCTACTGCCTGCCCGTAGCTGGAGATCTCAGTGACACTAAACAAGGAGACCCTAAGCTCCTAGGTTTTCCAGACTCTAGACTGCTCTCCCTCTCTGCCCCATGAAATCCAGGGCTTCCTTTAGCTTGCCATATCAATGCTTGACCTTCTGCCCTGGCCAGGGAGCTGCCCTGCTGGGAACCAGAGAGCTCTCTGAGGGAGAGAGCTGGTAACAGCAGGAGCACACGGGTAGAGGTTAATGGAGCCTTAGTTAAAAGTTATCTACAAGTGCAAAATCAGCATAGTCCTTGAGAAGTACAATTTGGAACGGTCTAGTGGAGTCCAGATGTCATCTACAAAGCAATGAGATGTAGCATGATGTAGGAACGCCAGGATTTTTAGCGTGAGCCCCATTCCTATCCCCTACTGCCGCCATGTCATTCCCTCCACACTATTCATACAGAATTCAAAGAGGCACGTGTGATCCTTTCCTCCCATTCCTCCTACCTACTGAAATGGCAATGGTTTTCAGTAATGTTTCCTGAATCTCCTACAAATGAAAGGCCAGTTTGCCCTTTGCTTGAGCTGAAAAAAGTCAAATTTAACAGAAGCAGTCATATACATGTGGTCAATGTAGATAAAAATGGCTCCTGTCTGTTTCTTCGGGGGGGCCCAGAAGGACGGATAGTACTTAATCGGCCACAGATTATGAAGCCCACAGTCATCAAATTAGACTGGAGGTAATTGCCCTTCACGTGTTGTTTTAGGCAGCTGTTCCATTATTCACAGGTAAATCTGTGCCCTCAACTTATAATAATCCCTCGATGTCATGGTCTTCTGGTACAGCCGAATTCCATAACCTTGGAAGCCACCAACAGTTCTCTCTCAAATTATCTCTGGACCTGGAAGGATGGTTTGGTGGGAAGAAAATCCTGGTTTTCAAGATCAAAGAATATTCCTTACATTTATGAGAACCTTTGAAATATAGAAACTTCCCACCTAACACCAGCTGGCAAGTAGCCTTGTTTGTTTCTATCTAAGTAAATGAACTGTTAAAAGCAGAAAAAGAAAAATATTCTTAAGCTCCAAAATCTTCTTCTACCTGATTTTAGCTTCTTTGGGGGAAGGAAACACAGATTCATGCCTGAACCCAGACCACATGACATCACTCTGTCAGAGAGAGGGCTGCCAGAGTTGTCTCTCCTGTACCCCCTCCCCTCTCTCCGGGTTCAGCTTTTCCTCCCACTCCTCCCCTGCAGACAGGACATCTTCCAATCACTTTGGACTGCCCACCATGTCTGGAACACGCTCTGCAGCTCAGCTTCTGTGATTATCTGAACTTCGTTGACCCAAATTGGGCCACCATGACCCAGGTCAGCCTAACAATAACTGCTGACCCAGACCATGGGCTGGAACTCTTTCTGGTCCCCCCTGCCTCAAGCTGGGACTGATTCAGGAAACTAGGGTGATGCTAGGCCAGTGATCGGTCTTTAAGGGATCCTCCCAGGTCTCACAGAGGAGGAGGAGACAGATGGGGGCCTGACATGTCAGTGCAGCCAGCCTTCTATTAGCCAGCCACAGACCTGAGCAGATGAAACACCGGTGAATCACTGCCTCTAAGGTTATGTCAACCCTGGTGCACCACCCACCAACACCACCCGCTCAGTAACACAGCATTCATTCGTTCATGTGTTCATTCCTTCATTCGCTATTTAATGAGTCCCTGCATAGATGTAGGCAGATACATCTCAAAATTGCAAATCCAGTAAACTCCTAGTTAGCCTCAACCCACTGAAGTACAAACTTCCATCACCTGGAATGATGGGGTTCCTTCATATAAGTGACACTCTGCCATACTAAACAAACTGATATTACTGATATTCTGTGTCTAAACATACCTCTCCTTCTCTACCAGAAGAACTCGGGTTTATTTATATGGAAAGATACAGAAGTCCCTTTCCTAGGAAGCCTTTCCCAACTTCTCCAGTCTTCTTAGAAGACTTCCCAGCTACATCTCCCACCACAACCTTCCATAACTCTCTCCTCTAGCTATACTGCCCTTTTCTCACTTTCTGCCTTCCATGTTAAGTCCCTTTCCGCCTCAGGGCCTTTGCATATGCCGTCTGTGGTGCTGAAATGTTCCTGCCCATATTCCAACTCATTACTGACCCCAGCCCCACAGCTTCTACTGCTCCCCTCCTTTTATCAAAGTAAGCTTCCCCAGCCTTCAGATCTCAGTTGAACCAGGAAAGCCATCCCTGAGCCCCACCATTATTCACCCTCATAGTCTCACAGGACTTTCCTTCCCTATGTTTGTCAGAGCTGTACTGTTGAACGGTGATACTATTTGATTAAAGTCTATTCCTCACTAGACTATAAGCTCCATAAGAACAGGGGCCAGGACTCTTTTCATTTATCACTGTAAACACAGTGACTAGCCCAGGGGCACATAGTAGGCAGAGTATTAGCTGAATGAATGAGAGACCTTCTCTACAGTGCTTGGGTCACTGAATTCCAATTGCTTGTTTGTGTACTGGCCCCAAAACCTGGCCCCTGCCAGCCATCCAGAACCAAATACTTTTCTACAATGTCCTTTCTTTTTTTTTTTTTTTAAGATTTTATTTATTTATTTATTTGAGAGAGAGAATGAGAGAGAGAGAGAGCATGAGATGGGGGAGGGTCAGAGGGAGAAG